TGTCTTACGTACAAAACTAACCCTCTTTTTATTCTATTTTTTATGTTTTTTTCTTAGTCTTTTTGTAACTCCCCAAATTTCCCAACTATGACCCTAGCCGGTCTTTGAATGCATATAGACTCCAAATCCGATATATGATTTTTAATGTTGGGTAGGTAATTAAAATAATTTCTTTCTTTGGAAAGATCTTTGGATGTGAATTAAGGTCATACGGGATTCCTAGAGTATTAAGATTTTATGGCCTAGTACCAAGAAAATTCCCTTGTCCTAACATCTTCGATCGTTCGAACAATCTAAGTTATGTGCTAAAAGTTAGCTCATTTTACTGAGCACTACAAATTTTGCATGACCCACCGTGCTAAGTGGAAATCAGCCGCGCGGGCAAGTGAGTGTTACTATAAGGGTCACGCGAAGTAGGCTCCAATTGCGCGTCCGCGCACGTGCTCCAAAATCATTTAAGTCTTTTCTTCTTTTCACGTTTTAGGAGGGCTGTTTTAGCCCTTTCCTCATTCCATAACCCTAACCCATGACTATTAACTTTCCCCAAAAGTCATATTATAGAAGATTTGATAAGTTACGTCAAACGATGCTCCTCTTCTTCCCTTACACTTCAAGAAACAAGATCCAAGGTTATAAATTCTCAAAGTCTCTTTCCTTATTAGTTCTTCGTCAAAAGGAATGTTTGAACACTCCCTACTTCAAACTACGCATACAAGATTTATATTTATATTTTATTATTCGTATTTTCTAAATTACGTATTGAGGTAAGGGTTGAGAGATGATATCATGAAAATTGATTATAAATAATGTTCTTCTCTTGTTAATTGTGTTCAAATTACTTTACTATGATTTCAAAATTTGGATTGTTGGTTTTGAATGGGTGAATTTCCTCATATGATTTTGAAAAGGATTTTCCCTATAAATATTGAATTTGGAGATCTATGAGTCTTTCAAAAGCTTTGGTTTAAATAATGAACAAATGGTACTTTTCCGTCTCGATTAAATACTGATGATCTTGCATTTTATATGTTGTCTTATAACTTGGATGTTGATATTGAATGAAATGTTTAAACATAAATGAGTTTTTGATTTTCAAAGGACGGTTTAAGAGTTCTTGTCATGCCCCGAGTCTACACCCTGGACGTGGCCGACACTTGAAGACCATCGCTGGCCCCAAGCGAACCCTTGGCCTGGCTTTCTTAACTCAGCGGAAACTTAACTCAACAGAATAACTCAATGCAATGAAAAGTCATAAACAACCCAACTGATAAAATCTGGCCAAAGAGGCAACTCGAGTCTCAAAATAAATTATTTACATATATACATGCATGAGAGACTCAAAACTACTGTCTTCCTGCCTATGAAGCCTCTAAAAACTACTGAGATGGATGTTGGGACAGACCCCACAACATCCTAATAAAGCAAAACTAGGAATACAAAATATCGGAGTCCTCCGGAAAGCAAGGAGGCTCACCACCGACTCTGGAGTGCTCAGTTGGATTAACGGCGTGCCAGATGCTGATCCTGGGTACCTGCGTCTGCATCATAATAAGATGCAGGCCAACTGGCATCAGTACATTGAATTTACGAGTATGCGAGTTGGAAAGCTAAACAACAACTTAAGCTTGAAAGGAGTACAAAGGAACTCTCACCTTGGCTCTGTTCAACTCATAAATAACTGAACTCAATATATAAAGCAATAAGACACATGCAATATATAAAAATCTTGTAAAACAGTATAAACAACTTAGTTCATTAATGATAAAACAATAACAAACTCAACTTCACTTATATAAAAGTAATATAACTTTTGTGGGAGATTCTTTAACCGACAACCACCACTATGAGCCCTAGTGATGATACAACGTTTTACCTCACGTTGCCCAAGGACCATCCTATACCTTGCCGTGATATAGGACCTTACTTTAACTTAGTGGATCCACTAGATTTATCTTACGTGATCAATGATCCATCAAATCCCATGTTGGCGCATAGTTCTTATGGACAGTTGAGTTAATATGAACTCGTGTCCCCAATTCGGTGCTCAATACTACTCCAAAAAAAAAATACTTTAGCTAATAAGTGTTTTAAACACATTTTCTTTCTTTTAGTTTGAGATAATTGCTCAAAACTTAGCCCAAAGGCTCTTTTGGAAATCATAGTTCCTTTCTTACTTCAAATGTAAAAACATTTATGAACTTCTTTAGGAATACTTAGTTCCCTAATAACTTTTAAGAAATGAACTCAACTCTAAACTCTTGACTTAACTTGAACTAACTTGAAACTTGAGCCTCAAAATGAAGTTAAAACATTCAATGAAGACTCCTGAACAACTTTGAAAACTTGCTTTGATTTAAGTTCTCAACTTCTAGGCTTGACTTTGATCCTAACTTTCTTGAATCGAATTATGGATTTAAGGATCATGATTTGTGTTTGGAAAGACCTCATGATGTTTAGGAATGATTTAGGACAGCTAAACTTAAGAAAAAAAAACGAAATTAAATTCTGAAAACAGTGGAGTCCGCGTCCTGTCCGCGACGCGGAGCAGATTTTGTTCACAGAGGGAACAAGTCCGCGACGCGGACTTGTTTCATGAAAGATGCCCGACTCTTCTCCTTCATTTTTCCAACCCTAAACCTCCTTAACTTCAATGGTTCCAGCCCCAAATTACTTAGAATCATAAACTCCTCAACATGCAATAGATTTCAACTCAAAAACACAACCAAATCATGTCCCAAACCAACAAGAACTTCAACACAACACAACTACAACTTCAACAACATTAACAACACAACACAACTACAACTTCAACAACTCAACCAATCTTTTCTTGAGAATAAAACGAGTTTGACGTGTGGGGAAAAGAATCAACCCACCACTATGAACTCACATACCTAGTAGGGATCACCCCCGACGATATCCACGATGATCTCCTTGCTTGCTCTTCTCTTTCTCCTCTTCTTTCTCTCTTCTCTCCCAAGCCCTAACTCTCACTCTTTAAAACAAAGGGGAAAAACTGATCCAAAATGAGCCTAACACATACATATATCCAAAAGAATTGGTTAGGTAAAAGACCAAAATTCCCTTAAAATTTCCGGCTGACTTCCCTGTGCCAACTGCCCAACTTCCACAGGGAATAAATCACTCATAAGAACTCGGAATAGAGCAAACTCGACGGCGTTGGAAAGATCATTCCACGAGCTTCGCAAACATAACTGGAACTACACCTAACTCATCCTGACCTAGGAGTTATGACTTCTCAAAGTTGGCCAAAAACTCACTTTTTCCCACACTTAACCAAATTTTCCAGATTTTTAAATTCCTTCCAAAAATGACTAATTCCAAATTCTAAGCCTCTTCATAGGTATCTTAAATTGACCGATGTTACAGTTCTAAATGGCTAACTATGAAATTGGCATGGTTAAATGGCTTGAAAGTCTTGATATGATGATACCAATGGGAATATGTCTTACTGAGATAACTCTTATTAAATGAGAACTTGTAAATGTTTTAATTGGGGAGCTTAAATAGAGTTTGGTAGTATCACTGAGAAGACGTAAGGTCCTTTTGACTCATCACCAGAAACCACGTTTGTCGACGTCGGAGGTCCCTGTCCTGAAATATGAATGACCACTGTAGGTTGTTAATCGGAGCAGCCTCTACAATCTTTTCTTTAGGAGATTTTGGTTCGACGAATTCATATATTTCTCAAATTCATGTGGCATACATGGATTGGGGCCTTCGAGCGGGCGGAGGCTGGACCCATATAGCCGGTGGGTCGCATTATGTCGGTAAACACTACCTTACTCAGAATTAATGATTTTTGAAAGGTTTTTGTCTAAATATCTTGGGTCTGAACGTATGATTTTGTCTTTTATTTATGGTTATGTTATATATATATATATTGTTTATCCTTTCCCCTTGGTTGTATGCCAGTACTCGTCGTACTGACCGTCCTCGGACGCTACATCTTTTCATGATGTAGGATCGGAGACACGTGTTTGTGGCTCCAGGCAACAGTAGATCATTAAGGGATAACAGTCAACATTGTGGTGCTTTTTCCATTTTCTAGAAAGTAGACTTTTTTTATCAGTCTTTCCTTAAATTTTCATGGTATGTCGGGGGCCATGTCCCGATGTAAATATTGTTATTTTGTTAGTAGAGGTTTTGTAGACCTATGGTTAATTGGATTTGGTTTGCTAATTAAGAGTCGAATTAGTTTTCCACTTTTGAATTTTCTTGATGGTTGATTAGAATGGGCCTTACTTTCTTCATTGGTACTTAGAAATTGATATTTGTATTAGATTATCTGAATTACGCAGGTTGGTTGGTGCTCTCAGACCTAGGGGGTTTCGAGTGTCGTGTCACATCTAGGGTGGGATCTCAGGGCGTGACACTTTTAGATGAGTGAAGCTAAATCTAGGTGTCAATGCATAGATTCGACCACTTACTTTTAAAAATCAAACCTTATTGATAACTCAATAATTTATTTAATACAACATAAATTGAACTTTTTGGAATATCTTCAACATGTTTTAACTTATTACTTTAAAGATTTGTACATGAGGTAAGCGGGGGTCAAAAGTTTAAGACGGTCATTTTCAACATCAATGATGTGATTTTCCTATAACTAGGTAGAGAAAAGACATGGTGAGATTATTTAAATTACTTCAAAGCAACATGGTCACGTACATCACCACATTATTATTGTTTAACTTGTTAGAATTTATTTGTTTCAGCTGTTATTTGGTTGCTTCAAAGTGCACCCCCATTACACACACTTAATATCCAGGTAATATTTAAAGAGTGGCATATACATTCTTCCTAATTTGAAACATCGATGATTACTTTTTCTAGATTACATGTAGCACTTATAGAGTTTGTTCCTTAGCTTCTAAAAAAGGAAATCACATACTAATTGTGCATTGAGAAAGATGAATATCAAGAAACTTACCAAACATGCATGTTCAAAATAGTTTGCTATAATTGAACACCTTTCCTATATATTAAAATCCTTCTTTGGTGTAGTGATATTCGGTACAGTTGCAATTACAATCTAGTAATAGCTTTCACTGAATCATTCCCTATACTTAACAACTTGTTTTTATGAAGGTTTTGCTGGCTCGTTGCACTTGTAGAGGTGACAGTTAGACTTACGAGATCACTCAAGGATGATGGAGTCTGGAGCTTTTACCTTGAACTGCTGAAGTTTCCTCCAGCATCACCAAATGTTGACGTACTGCTTGATGAGTATTAATTCATCCAGCTAGCTAGGTTATACTATTAGTATAGCCACATTAATGATTTATTCCATTTGTAGTTTATCAACATAGGTTCACAATGATGTTACTAATGTTTGTTCAACTTTAAAATGACAATCTAGTCAGCTTGAAAGAGAATTTTAAGTTCACATAAAGCTTAGAGACACTTCCTGTGGACAATTGAGGCACCAAATTCATTGTACTCGCCCTTTGTTATCAACATCTGCATAGGATGTAGCTATTAGTGTTGAATCCCTTGAGCTTAAAAGAAGTTAACAAGAAGACGTTCATAGTTAGAACTAATCGTTCGAGACCAAGACTTGGTAGATTGATTTATTGATAAGTCAAATAAAGTAAGGAGAAACTAACTCTTTCGAAACTATTGACGGAAGCTAGAATTGATCCTCCTATCCAGGTGCTGTACTTCCTCTCAGGTGGTGCTACCACTTTGATCTTCGTGCCCCTTGGAGCAAGAGCAGTGATTTCCTTACTCATACGTTCTGCTATACCAGGAAACATAGTTGAGCCACCACTAAGCACAATGTTTGCAAATAAATCCTTCCTAATATCAACATCGCTTTTCATGATTGAATTGTAGACTTTTTCATGGATTCCTGTCGATCCCATCCTGAGCAAAGATGGCTGGAATAGGACTTCAGGACAACGGAACCTCTCAGCACCAACATTAAGGACTTGTCCAGAAGGAAGCTCAAAGGCCTTCTCAACTGAACATCTGTTTTTTGCCTTTTCAATCTCCTGTTCAAAATCCAGTGCAACATAAGTAATTGTCTCCTTCATACGCCTAGTAACATTATTTTCTCTTATTGTACCGTGAAATACATAACCACCGTCGGAGAGAATCCTCGTGAGGTAATATGTAATATCACGACCACCAAGACCTAACCACGAGATAGCATGAGGAAGTGCATGTCCCTCATAGATGGGGACCGTGTTGGTCGCACTATCACCAGAATTAAGCACAATGCCTGGTTGAAAAATTACAAACAAGTGACTGGCTAAAATTAAACAGTAGAGAACCAGTATTTCTTCTTCTGCTTACCAGTTAGCCGACCATTAGCAAACATAGAGAGAACAGCCTGGATTGCGACATACATGGATGGAACACTGAATTTCTCAAACATGATTTCGGTCATTTTCTCCCGGTTTGCTTTGGGATTAAGTGGCACTTCCGTCAGAAGAATGGGATGCTCCTCGGGATCAATACGGAGTTCATTGTAAAATATGTGATGCCAAATTTTCTCCATATGATCCCAGTTTTTTACCATGCCATGTTCCATGGGATATTTCAGAGTCAACATACCTCTTTTACGCTGAGCTTCATCACCAACATAGGCATCTTTTTGTCCCATACCAAGCATGACGCCAGTATGACGAGGAACACCAACTATACTTTCAAAAACAGTCCTTGGAGCATCATCCCCAGCAAACCCAGCCTAAAGAAACAAGTGTTTGAATATCCACTAAAGAGCAACACAATGAATAAAGCTGAAATTGTAAGTGTTTTGTTATTACTAACCATGGATCGGTCAGTTCCATTGTCGATAACAAGTGTTTGAATATCCATCACACCAGCCATCTTGTAAGGACTTGGAAAACTTATTTTGGAAGCATAATTTTACAAGTCAGTGAGAAATATTTTCCTTTATGCATAGTTTGATTCTCTTTTCTAGCTCAACGAGATATACGATTTTCATATTTCCAGTTGAAATCACCAGCTGTTAACACAAGAAAGAGTAATTTCCTGCCAGTAAAAGAGAAAAAGACCAAAATGCTGAGTATTAGTAGAATTTAACATGTGCTTAGTGAGGACACTTATGTGGCTAATCTGAACCAATTTCGTGATACTCAAGTGTCCAACTGAATCTAAAATCAACACTACTCAAAACACCAAGTCATTGAGCAACCAATAATGAAATCAAATTTGATAACGAATGAAAAGCCGATGTATCATCAATAAAATTGAAGCATATGCACCTTTATGGGAAAAAAATAGAAGAATTTTTCTGGCTTACACAAAAATCAATCCATGAGATATATACTTTGAGTTAGTACAATAACATACCCAGTGAAATCCACAAGTGATGTCTGGGAAGGGTAAAATGTACGCATACCTTACCACTACCTTGTGGAGGTAGAGAGACTATTTTCGAAAGACCCTCGGCTCCTTGATTTGGATCATGAAATCATTATCCCACAAAATCTCTTCTAACAAGAAATTGAGAAAAACCTATTGACATCATCTACGCATTCAGTGTGGAAAACACCCAAATAAATAAAACCATCTTTGATAATCAGATACATAAGCAGAATTAAAAAATATTCCTAAGAAAGCACATTAAAACAGAGACAAAATACACTGAATCCAATGGATTATCAGATAGAATTGAAGCTTACGTTCAGTATTGGGAGTGAGAGAAAAAGAGACTTTTTCTGGTAAACAGAGTAAATACTTGGCTATAAAAGCTGAACTAAAAAGAATAAATCAAAGGGAAAAGGGCATCATTCTGTCGTTATAAAAATCTCATATATATTTCTAAGTGAAATTTTTTATTTTAAATTTACTTTTTGATTTTTTATTTTTAAAAAAGTTCATATAGATATACACTTGATCCTTCTCACAGGTGATTTTTTTTTACTTCAATGATTCAGCTAATTTGAGTATATTATTTTGATGATCAAATTTATTTTCACTTATTTTTTTGTAAAATTTATCATAAATACCTCAAATAATGTCTTGAATTTCCAACTAATTAAGTGAAGTTCCATGATACTATCCATGAACTTCAAAAGGAGTCATTATTCAATGAATCTTTTTTTAGAGTTTGAACCGATAAACTTCAAATTCTTAAAGTTTTGTCGGAACTCCTGCATAGTAAAACTCTAACACATTGTGCTGAGTTTTTTTCCATATTTTCATCAAGGATACATCATACATCTATCCAAATTTCATTTCTTTTTTAAAAAGCAGGTAAAGTTTGAATAGTTTTGAAATGATGGTTGAAAGTTGGCGGTGTGAAAGTAGTTATCGTCCTTCCTCAACGCTCTTCCTTTTGTTGAAATTGATAATAATGCCATATATTTGCTCAAAATTACAGAGTAGGTAGAGTATTTGTCATTGGTAGTTCAGTAATTGTGTCTACCACATCATGCCTAACAAAAATAGCTCTTAATATGTCTACTCAAACCCGCTGTCAAAATTCTAAGTTTTTCAAAAACTTAGTCCTATCACCCTCCTTTGCTAGAAGATCATCAACTTGATTTTGCTATCTGTAGTTGTGGCTGGTTGCTGGATTCATTAGTGATTGCATCGAAAACCTGCATTTAGAGACTAGTCAATTGTCATTATCAAAGATAAGAGTGTCTTCATCCCATGGGAAGGCAACGATGTGTTTGATGCTGGTATACAAAATCAACGTGTGGAGGAGATCAATGCTGGTATACAAAATCACCAAGTAAAGATTCAACATTACTTCACGTGTATCGGGAAGGCAATGATATGGTCGATGCTTTGGCAAAACACAATAAACTTAATTTTAGCTTCCAATGATAAACTGGAGCTTATGCTTTACAGTACCCCAGGTACTTACTTTCACTGTGTACTGTAATCATAATGTTGTGAACTAACAACGAAGCAAGTACTATTGTACCTTTTCTTTCATTATCACCGACAACAATAGAAAGGTGTGGAAAAAAAAATCTCTGCTTACAAACCAGTTATCATAAATGAGCAGAGGATCGTCAAAGCTAAGAAAGTCTAATCCGAACTCAAGTAGAAAAGCATGAAGACATAAATTTACCGTTCTGCAATTTCACAACCACTTATCGATACTACTGAAAAGTCTGCTAATATAACCAAATGTTCTCAACCTAATGCAATATAGGCACTTAGTAACAGACGATCCACCAGTTTCCTCCTTACTAGCTTATTATAAAGAAAAGGAAAAAGCCCGCCAAGCAAGAATAGATCACTGTAACTTAAATGAAGCATTCATTTGAAGGGATTTAACTACAGAGATTTGAAGTTCTCACCAAGTTTAGGGACACTTCCTGTGGACAATTGAGGGACCAAATTCATCATATTCGCTATTTGTTATACACATCTGCACGTGACGAAGATATTAGCAGTTAATTAAGAATTAACAAGAAGACAATCACCGTTAGAACCAATTATTTGAGACTAAGGACTTGATCGGTTGATTTATTGATCCATCAAATATGGCAAAAATAAACTAACTTGTTGGAAAGTACTGAGTGAAGCGAGAACTGGTCCTCCTATCCAGGTGCTGTACTTCCTATCAGGTGGTGCAAACACCTTGATCTTCGTGTGGCTCGGAGCAAGAGCAGTGATTTCCTTGGTCATACGTTCTGCTAAGCCAGGAAACAAAGTTGAGCCACCACTAAGCACAATGTTTGCAAATAAATCTTTCCTAATATCAACATTGCATCTCATGATTGAGTTGTAAGCTTTTTCATGAATTCCCGTCGCTTCCATTCCAACCAATGATGGCTGGAATAAGGCTTCAGGACAACGGAACCTCTCAGCACCAATATTAATGATATGGTCAGAAGGAACCTCATAGCCCTTCTCAACTGATTTTGAGCATTTTTTTTGCCTTGTCAATCTCCTGTTCAAAATCCAGTGCAACATAAGCAATTGTTTCCTTCATATCACGAACAATTAGTGATGCACTACCAATGATAGCTAGATGATAATAACTCTCCGTTTGTTTCACAAGATACTCGGTAAGATGATGACCACCAAGATTTAACAATGAGATAGCATCGGAAATTGCATGTCCCTCATATACAGGGATAGTGTGGCTCACAGTATCACCAGAATCAACCACAATACCTTGTTGAAAAACAACAAATGAAATTAGTATTACTAACTAAAACAATAGAAGAAAACTAGCTTATGTCGGTATTCAATTCTGCTCGACTCTTACCAGTTGTACTACCATTAGCTAACAGAGAAAGAACGGCCTGATTTTCAACATACATGGCTGGAACATTGAATGTCTCAAACATGACTTGAGTCATTTTCTCTCGGTTAGCCTTGGGGTTAAATGGTGCCTCAGTCAGAAGAATGGAATGCTCCTCTGGAGCAACACGGAGTTCATGGTAAAACGTATAATGCCAGAGTTCCTCCATATCATCCCAGTTTCTTACTACGCCACGTTCAATGGGATGTTTCAGAGTCAAGATACCTCTTTTAGACAGAGCTTGATCACCAACATAAGCAGCTTTTTGTTCCATTCCAACCATGACGCCAGTATGACGAGGACGACCAATTATACTTGGGAAAACAGCCCTGGGAGAATCATCCCCAGCAAATCCAGCCTGAACAAATAAAGGACAGAGTTAACACCAATCATAGAACTGAAATTGCAATCAGTTTATTTCTAACTAACCTTGGTCATTCCACTTCCGCAGTCAATAACAAGTGTTCCATGCCATCAGCCATCTTGTAACGACTTCAAATAAGTAGTATTTATTTTGCGAATTCAGACATCACTGTTATATCTACGGAGTCAAAGTTAAAATGGTCATAAGATCGGCAAGAAATTTCAGATTGATGGAAGAATCTAAATTGATGGTTAATCAAACAAATTCGAAACTTACCTTTACCTGAAACGAATCCATTGCTAAAATCAATTGATGAGAAAAGCTAGGATCCAAACTCCTCAATCCCCATACACGACAATCATCTAGATTCTATTTTCTTGTATTAGAATTACTAAATTAGTAGTAATTAAAAAATAATGGGAAAATAAATCTATGAGACACAGCTAACCTTTACTAAGGTCCTATTACCCCGAACTTATTTTATATATAATTTTCTACCCCTTTTCGGCATACGTGGCACCATCCTTGAAAAAATTGTCAACACGCGCTGGGCCACAAAATAGTGCCACGTAGGCTGAAAAGGGGTAGAAAATTATATATAAAATAAGTTTGGGGATAATAGGACCTTAGTAAAGGTTAGGTGTGTCTCAGGGATTTTGGGCATAGGTTGGGGGTACTTATGCATTTTCCCAAAAATAATCAATATGCCCTTTAACTTAGTTTTTGCTGACATTTATGCTCTCCAACTTTGAATGTGCACAAGTAGGCATCTAAATTTGTATAAAATTGAACAAATAGGCTCATGCATCCTACGTGGCATAATACACGTTCGATAGGACGCCACGTAGGATTAACATGTCGATTTGTTCAATTTTATATAAGTTTAAATGTCTATTTGTTCACATTCAGAATTAGAGGGCATATATGTCAGTTGAAATCAAATTTAAGACATATTTATATATTATCCCAATTACCAAATTTTACATAGTACGTAGCAATCCACGTATGTGCTCATCTCAATATTGAATGATATTCTTTATAATTAATTTCTTTAAATACTAATAGGCTATTCAAGTTAGTATATATTAGGAATTGAAGTTGCTTGTACTCCAAGGATGAAGAAAAATTAATTCGAGTCCTTGTAGGATTAAGAAAAATTAATTAAGCCACCTATAAATAGAACAAGTCTGTTTATGAGTCCCCAAAATAAACAAAGACGTTTCTCACATCTAGAAATTATCTGTTATTCAATGGATATTGAAGTTGATCATTATACTGCTTTGGATTTACCCTCCGGTAAGGAAGGGGCAAAGCTTTCTGAAATCGACATATCGAAAGCCTATCGAAAGAAAGCATTAGAATTGCATCCAGACAAGAGACCCGATGATC